CAAGGTGATAGCTTTGTCAGCAAGTCCATTTTGCTCATACCCAGATATCATGGAGTTCCAGGCAACCAAAGTTCTTTGGGGCATTTCATCAAACACTTTTTGGGCGACACCCAACTCATTGCATTTGGAATAAAAACTAACCAAAGCAGCCTGAACGAACAAATCCACTCCATACCCACTAACTATCACATGACAATGAATAATCCTGCCAAGTCCAAGAGCTGACAAATTAGCGCATGCTTTTATGACGGCTGTGAATGCGTGGTTTGACCACTCTGCATTACAAACTAACATGTGTCGATAAAAGATAAGGGAATCAACAGGATAATTGTGCTTGGTGGAGGTTTTAATAAGGGAACTGAAGAGGAACGAATCAGGGTTGGGGATGGAGAAGAGGAGTTGGCGGGTGTAGATGATTGCCTCTGCTGCGCAGGCCGACGTGATGAGTTTGGTGAGAAGCGGAAGAGAGCTGGTTTTGCCGGATAGGATGATTTGGGCGTGAACTTGTTGCAAGGGTTTGATCCGGCGGCCGGCGAGGAGGAGAAATTGGTAGAGAGACAGGTGCTGCTGGGGAGCATTCCGATAAACCATTCGATCGATTCACAAACGTTGCTTTCCCGCGGTTTCCTCCATTTAAATCATAAAGCATCCTCTTGCAATGTTATTGATTCCAAAAGAAAATCCCTTCAAATACATGTTATCAATTTCTTCGTCTAGAATAAGGAAAACAGTCGTAAAAGTATGACATATATGCAAAAATGATGTTAGATTGTAAAATATAGTTATACAAAAATGATAACACAATTGATCACCATAAAAATATAGAAATGTATACAGGTGTTGTTTGTTTTTTTGAAGTCAAAATGTCTGCAGTCTGCGGACCACATCTGCAAGCCCCTGCGGCAGAAGAGATGGACCAAATGTCTGCACTCTGCAATAAGAAGACTGTTTGTTTTTAACGTCTGCGGACCGTTAAAATAAATTGAATTTTTAAACTTAATTTCATGTTATACACATTAAAAATGTATTTTTAACAAAAAAAATGAAAGAAAAAAAACTGCACGGTGGTCATGTTTTTTTTTTTTTTTTTTTGTTTAGGTTAAAATGAGGTCTGAAGACCTTTGAAGACAGTGGTCCATGTCTGCACCAGGAAGACATCGCGCAAACGTTTTCTGATCTGCGCACTTCCAAAAAACAAACAATCTGCAAGGGCATATGTCTGCGCGTTGTCTGCGCGGCGCAGACAAAAATGGTTGCACAATTGATCACCATAAAAATATAGAAATGACCATTGATCACCATAAAAATATAGAAATGTATATAGTATATGATCATTGTATTTATTAATTATGTAGCTTTAAAAAAGTATGAAACTACATAAATGTATTCCTTGTTATCTTGCAACATTATCTCAATTCAATTATTTTATTGATTTAACTAGTTTTTACAATTCTAAATAAATAATGAATTTTTTATTAACCATTGACTTTTTTCCTCATTGTCCAATTTTGATCTAGTATAAACCATTAAATATTTTATAGTATAAAAAATCATTTTCTATGGTTATCTAGTTCTAGTGAGCTATTACAATCCATGATCGATTTATACATATCGTATTTTCTACTAATAAATGTTTATGAAAAAATATGTTTGTGCTGAAGAACAGAAAGTGTTAAGGATGATTTATTATGATGTAAGTACATGATTATATTTCATCACCTAATTAATTATATCGACCACTTTGATAATTCAATCTATGTAATACTGTATAATAATGTTTCGGATATGAATCTTAAATTTGTAAACCGTAGTACATACAGTAACAAGAAAGGGAGATTAGAAACAAGAAAAGGAGATAAGAATCGTACCATTCCAGATTTTTTTACACTTATATTAAAACTACATATATGAAAAAAAAAATGACTTTTTAAAATGGTTAAAAATAATTTAATATATTTTTTTTGTATGTAAAAGAGTTAAAATTGTCAATTTTAACTTCTTTTTTTTTAACTAATAATGATGATAATAAATCAGATTCGAATACATTTTTTTCGATAATTTGACTATTTAGGTCCGGTCGTGCGGGGTTGCGGGATCATCGTTTATATCTCTTTAGAAGAATTGAGCTGAGATCATCCTAAAACCCTGCCTGATGCTCATAAACCTCTCTACACACAGGGGTTTCGAGCTCACTGTATGGAACTATCTTCGTATTCCCAAGTTTCAAACATATAATGCTCTTTTCTGCACATTCTCACTCATCATCGTTCGCCAAGGTAACACTCGCTCACCTCCTCAAATTCATACCATCCTTCAATTCCCTTCCATTTTCATCAACGCGGTTCCGCTCTACATCACCACCATCATCACGAACACAGTTAATTAGCCACATAATAACATCATTTCGAAAAAAAGACCACGATCAGCACCTGTTGAACCATTCTTCTATCTCTAATTTGAGACCCCATGAAGTAGAGCCCATTCTTTTTGGTCTACGCGCAACACCTGATTTAGCAATCAGTTTCTTCGAGTGGTCTGAACGTCATCTAGGGTTCACTCATCATAACCTTGAATCTTTCTGTAGTCTCATCCATTTGTTGCTACTAAAACGAATGTTTGATGACGCACGCGGGGTGTTTGATAAAATGACTGAAAGGTTTAGGGATTTTGATTGTTTTCACGCTTTCCACATGGGTCTGACGAGTTATCAATCAAACGCTAGTACTGTCTATAGCTTCTTGGTTGATAATTATTGTCGAATTGGGAACATTGATAGGGCAGTTGATTTGTTTTTTCAGATGTCAAGAATGGGTATATCAATCTCACCATATGCTTTGATGAGAATGATGAATTCTTTAGTTGATATGAACAGGATTGACATTATACTGAATGTATACGAGGAAATAGCTAATGAACCTAGAGAAAACAATGATTTGTGTTCAAATCTATATGGTTATGTTATGGGTGGTTTCTTCAAGAAAGGCAATGCTAATTTTGGATTTGAATTCCATAAAGCTATCATTAAAAGAGGACTTGTGCCCAATGTAGTCACTTGTAATAAGATCATGAAAGGTCTTTGCAACGACAAATGTTTAGGGGTCGCTAACGACTTCTTGTCATTGATGACAGAAATAGGTCCAATCCCAACAGTAGTGACATTTAGCACATTAATGAAAGCATATTGCAAAGAAACAAAATTAAAAGAGGCATTTCAACTCTATGATACGATGCTAGTAATAGGAATCACTCCTGATCTAGTTGTATACAGTATCTTGGTTGATGGTCTTTTTAGGGCAGGAAAATTGGATGAAGGGTATCAAGTAATCTTGGTGGCATTAGATAAAGGCATCATCTTGGATGTGGTGATTCTTAGCTCAATAATAGATGCATATGTAAAAAAGGGAAATCTACAAAAGGGTTTTGATGTTTATAAAAAGATGCTCGATGAAGGGATTAAACCCAGTGTAGTTACATATGGGATTCTTATAAACGGATTGTGTCAAAATGGGAATCTTGATGAGGGTATTGCCATTTTTGGTCAAATTTTGAAACAGGGTCTCGAGCTCTCTGTTCTAGCTTACACTAGTCTTATTGATGGCATGTGTAAATCTGGGAATTTGAGATATGGCTTTTGGTTATATGATGAAATGGTAACATGTGGTTATACACCAGATGAAACGGTATATAGTGTGCTTATAAATGGTCTCACAAAACAAGGTCGGATGCATGATGCTATTCGATTCTTCTACAAAAGTGATTTAAAACATGGTATAGTTGCTTATAACACTTTAATTGATGGTTTTTGTAAATTGAATCTAATGAAGGAAGCTGTGAAGTTATACATGAAGATGGGTACGTATAATTTAAAACCTGATATAGTCACTTACACGATTCTCATCAAAGCAGCAATCGAAACCGGAAGGCTACCCGAAGCTTTGAATTTGTTCTATCAATCCCTGAAAACGGGTCTTCTTCCAGATCGTGTTACATATAGCGTACTTATAGACGGATTTTGTAAAGAAAAGAAAGTAATTATCGGGTTATGGATTCTTGAAATGATGCTGAAAAACGGAGTAAAACTGGATATCGATGTTTACAACATTCTGATAAATGGTTTTTTCAAAACCGGGCAGTTACAAAAGGCGTTGGAGATTTTCGGGCAGGTTCGGGCATACGGACCGGAACCGGATATTGTGACTTACAACACGATAATGAGCGGATATTGTTCGTTAAAAATGTTGAATGAAGCTGTTGAAGTTTTTTACAAAGAGGTGAAAAAGAAAGCGAATGTTGTTACTTACACGATCTTGATTGATGGATATTGTAAAGAAGGTAAAGTTGAAGATGCAATGTCGATGTTTTTAGTGATGTTGGAACAAGGTTTGGAATCTAATGTGGTGACATACAGCAGTTTGATTGATGGGTATTTCAAGATGTTGGAAATGGAAACTGCTCTTGAGTTGCATGAATCGATGGTTAGGAATGAGGTTTGTCCGAATATTGTAAGTTACAGTGTGTTGATTGATGGGCTTTGCAAACAGGGGTTGATGGAGGAAGCATTAATGGTGTTTCATGGTGCTTTGAGGAGGAGGTTGTTGCCGGATGTTATAGTGTATGGTATTTTGATTCATGGGTATTGTAAGGTTGGGAGATTAGGTGATGCTGTGTTGATGTATAGGCGTATGGTTGAACAAGGGATTGTTCCTGATGGATTTTTAAGGGGGATTCTTGCAGAGTATGGTGTGACATAGGTCTTATTTATACATCCTACCTATGGTCTAAGGTGAGTGTGTTACACTTTTAAACAGAGGATAAATTTTCATTAGTAGCCACTTGGATCTTGTATTCAACTTGAAAATGTAAATTTAATGATACTTGATTAATGTTTAAAAACTTCAGACATGAAATTATTAAGGATAAGTTGAAAATTTCATCTAAAAGTCGCTAATGAATGTTTAAAGACTTAAGTTTTAGTGAATTCATTTTGCACATTTTGCAAATGTATGTGAATTCATAATATATCATATCAAAATTTCATAAGTGAATTCATACCAAAATTACACAATCTGACATGATACATACCAAAATTTCATCAGATCACACACACGCACACAACAATAAAACCATATTCCTCAACTTGTCTCCTACTCCTACCTAATCCTCCTCACAAAACCAAACATATACAAAATTCCCATCAACATTTAACATTTAACATTTAGCCGGATTACACGCAAAGACAGCATCATAACAAAGCATCCAATATTCCTTCAATGGGATCCACATCCATGGCATTTTCCCATCAACGCCCGCACCAGGTGCAACTGGAAGCTTGTATAGCCGAGAAGACAAACTGTATAAATAACCAAAAACATTACTACAATACAATGGTCAATGGTCAACTCTTTTTACCTTTTTATTTCCTAAAAGACTCAGTAATCTATCTTCATCTATATTGAATGTTTTATAAATCCCCCTCATCTAATTTGTTATTTTCAATCACACCTCAAATTTAAGAAAGAAAAAGCACAACATGACACTGACATCTAAATAAATAAATAAATAATGATTATAAAAACTCACCTTCTTCCACTGAAAACTCCATACACTGATGAGCTAATTGATGATCTTGAAACAGCAGAACGTAGGTAACTAAAGTGTGGCTTCACCAATTCTCCTGAGGGAGTAACAATTTTAAAAGATTATACATTCAAAGAATGCAAAGAAGATACATATATATACATAGCTCAGATCTTACCTAGCGTATAAGAATAACTATGAAGAGATGAGACCAAAACATCTGATCCAACACTTTCCTTTAAATCAACAGAAAATATCTGAAACCAAATCCCACATGGGAATCTGCTTGGCCTCAACAACCAAAGGAAGATTTTGGTGTAAGGAGTAGCATGGATTACAGATATAGCAACCTCTATAATCATCAATATAAACCCAATTGTCGTATACATAATAGTAAACGACATATAAAAAGCTGAAGTAGTTGGTAGCACAAGCAGAAGTGGAGTAAACAACAGAGACCCAACAATATGTTGTTCCACTGTGTAATCATAGCTATCTAACCTCTCACGAAGCGGATTCCATTTTTGCCCCCTGTCATTCAATTCAAAAGTCAAAACAAATTCAAAACTAATCATGTCAAATTCTCAACCACCTACCTGAAAAGACGCCACAATGCTGTCGTTGCCTGTATCTGCCTCGAATAAATGAGTGATATTAACCAATGTAGAGTTGAAATATGTGTTGTTGAGATAGTAATCATGTCAAGTGTTAATGCAGCAGGGGTTGTAATGCCAAAAATAACCCCGCTTATCGCTAACCCTTTAATGAAAAAAATAAAAAGAAAACGCATGGAGCCTAATACTGTAGACCAAAATTGAATTGCATTTAAAGAAAGAGTGCCAAGAACTCCTGCAAGCTCAGTGTTCAGCTTAAAACCAGCAGGGTTTCCCATTAATCGTGCACAGCTAATGAGCCACCAGTTGTTTGTAACATCACCAGTGAAGGTCAAAATCGTCAAACAAGCGGAATTTGCATGAGTCAGCAATGTAAGGCCAAAAAGGTTCCCTAACAGGATGTCGATGACTACACTCAACCACATGGAATGTCTGCGTTGTGAAGCTTTCTCTGCATACTCCACACATGATCCGGACCTTACAAATTAATAATATACAGATAATAAGTAGAAAAAAATAAAAAATAAAAAAGTACAAAAACTATGTCCAAGTCAAGATTACCTGGAATCATTGGTGTGAAGGAAGATTGGCCAATACAAGATTTGACAACATCGGACACGGATGTTCCTTGAGGTGTGAGGGAATAAATTGTGTAATGTAACATATATAAAAGACTCTAATCCATAGCTTATAAGAAAATGGAGTAGCTGGAGAACTATATACACGGATGTGGAAACTGAAGCAACAAACACAGCCAATAGTTGCCATATCAAAGTGATAAACTTGAAAATGTGAACATAGAAATGTGAAGGTCTATGAGGTGACACTTGTTCTTCAAAAAATGAGGTGGCAGCAGCAGCACAGTTGGTGGCAAGAATGACAGTATCCTATATGCAATACAATAAAAGTTAGGAAAATTGTGAAATTATTACAGAAAAGAAAGAAATGGATCACATGTTATTTTTTTTACCAAGTCAAGAACGGGCTTCTTTTGGTTAAGGCCTTCCACCCACTCTGGTTTTCTTGAAATTTTTTTGGCATGATCAGAAGAATGTTGGGTGCCTAAGGAGAAATGGTGACGCCCAAATCTAGGAGTTCCATAAATTACTATCTGATTCAGAACAATAAATAGTAAATATCAAGATACAAACATGTTCATGATGAAGCTAAGGTCTTCATGACTTACATACGTGGAGATCAAGATTGGAAACAACTTGCTCATTCCAATGTATGTGATGTAATTTAGGAATCCATCCCAATTTTCTACTGGTGCGGATATAAGAGCCACATACAAGTTGGATTGAATCGCTTTTTGTGAAATCTTTATAGTGTTCTAGCGATCCATCAACTTTATGGCATCCACAGATCTGGTGTCCAACTGTATCCTCTGATATAATTTGTTCAAATTGTTGACCCAAATGACCATTGCTAGAAGAGCTTGCTGAACAATAACCAAGCATAGAGAGCCCACATCTATTTTGTAAAGATGTTGGCATTCTTTTATTTATCTTGTGAAGTATCCCCTAATCAAGAAAATAAGTATGAAACAGTTGTTTTAGCATCAAACAAATACCAAGTTTAAGTGCATTTTAAGCTGTACAAGGTCCAATTCTTCCATTTAAATTGGGTCCAATTTAGATTTTAGAGCAGAGTCATTAATTCTAGGTCAAATTCTTGAGTTTATTATCAGTTTTCTAATGTACTTGTTCCATATTCGATCACTATTAAGAGCGCGATAAATTGCTAAGAGAGATTAGCAACATTGCTTTCCCGATTGCGATTTACAAAATGATTCAGTTTCGTGCCCAAAGAAGGGTACATATGACCTAATTTTGTATAAGAAATCTAGAACTGATAAGTAATGTCATTCTCATTGTCGGGAAGAGGTTTATCCACTCAATTGTCCCGACCACAACCGAGAAAATAAATCAATGTGCGTAGCTCTGTTCATACAAAGATAAACCTAGCATTGTATCGGAGAATTCTCAACAAAAAGGAGTTGAAAAGTATTTGATACCTCGAGATCAGATCCGATAGAAGAGAAGGCAGCTTCATCGATTAAAAATGCTACGATAACTTCTAGAGGAACAGAAGCAGAGGAAGAAGAAGACGATGTAACGAACCAACCGAACAAGAAGGTGGAAGACTGTGGTTGGGTTGTTGGGGAGAGATGAGCAGGCCACCAAACCCTACACTTGCTCTTCATCGTTTTCAAAATACTGGAGCATCGGAATTCTCCCATGTCCTCATCGTGATTAACAGGGAGGCGCAGAGAGAAGTACCGCGGCAGTAGACGATGGAAATCAGTGGCGTGAGATTCCGCACTTGGAATTTGGGATCAATAAACCGTCGTTTAGTTCACACTGTGTGTGACTGAGAACTGAGCATGCAAAAGACCAAGTTGCGAAAGGCCCCCAAATGGGATCGGTCCGACCGATGGTGAATTTCTTTTCTGGAAAAGGGTAGAGACATTATTTGGGTTGAAATTCAAAATATAGACCCAAAAAATGAATTTCCGGGTATAGATATGGATTCCGCGGAGGTAGCTTCACCGAGCTTCGTAGAATCCATTATAGCTTCGCAGAATGGCAAAATCATAAATAAATGAGGAAATTAAAAAAAAAAAAAAAAAAAAACACCTCAATATCCATTCCGCGGAGCTACAGTGGATTTCGCGAGGCTCCGTGGAGGTAGCTTCAAAGAATGGATTTTCAGAAAAAAAAAATATATATATAAATAAATAAAAAAATATTCTCCAACAATTCTTTTATATAATGATCTCAAATTAAAAGATCAATTTTTTTCCATCTCACATTCATTCCAAATATTGTTATGAAAAAATCATACCATCATAATCTTTTCTTGAAAATAATTAGTTGGGGAATGAATATAAACTCCGAAAAATCGATTTGAAAAAAAAAAAAAAAAAGAACTGAAGATCCATTCCTCGGAGCTCCGCGGAATCCAATGTAGCTCCGCGGAATGGATCTTGAGGTTTTTTTTTAATACACTAATTTATTTACGATTTTGTCATTCAGCGAAGCTCCACGGAGCTACCTCCGCGGAATGCATGTCTATACCCGGAAATGTCCATTTTCATGTCTAAATTTTGAAAATACCCCCCATTTTTTTACTATTGCCGGTATTTTCTCTTTCTTTTTATCGATGTTGTAAATAATAATAATAATAATAATAATAATAATAATAATAATAATAATAATAATAAAGAAATAAAGAAATAAATAAATAAATAACCTTTTGTTATTGAGAGATAGGGCTTGTTCGGCAAAATTAACCGATAACGGATAGCGGGTATCTTGTATCTTGTAGCTTGTAGTGTTTTGTTAAACGCTACATAAAGTAACATTTGAATTTAGAGTTTTTTGTTTAAACTAAATGCTAGAAACTTTTAGTGTCAAACAAGTCTTTTTGTTCAAAACCGAATGTTTTGTTAAACGCTAGAAGCTAGAAACTCTCAAACGTTTCATGCCAAAGACGCCCATAAACGATGAAGAGTATTCATTCTTTAAATAGTGTTACCACTTGTAACACCCGGTCTTAGGTACGTATTTGAATTCAAATCAAACTTCATATTTTACTCATAAGTTGTTTAAATAGGGTGCAAACCCTTCAATTTAGGGTTTCACTCAGACAACTCCTACTCACCGAGTCAGTCTTCCGACTCGTCGAGTAGGTAACTTAATCCGTCGACCCGGAGTCGATCCTACTCAACAAGTTGATCCCCCAACTCACAGAGTCCCCAGCTGTGACATCCCCAAAATCTCGGCCAGAAAAGACCGATTTTCATTTATGCTTTTAAAATAAATTCAGAGTAAATCCTTTTGATTTGAAAGAGTTGCGGAATTTGTTCCCAAAAACAAAACATGATAAAACAATGTTTACCAAAGCATTTCATAAAAGAAATGTATTTTCATTATAATCAAAACTCGGGGTGTCATGTTCCGATACAGACCAATAAGCATAAACGAATACATTACAAGTCATATAACAAATATAAACATATGTAGACTTGTAAACAAAACAACTTGATGGTTCATCCATCTTACGCCCTTGCGCCACTTCCTGTAATACAAATAAAACTGAGTGGGTCAGGCTTGGGAGCCTGGTGAGCATATAGGGTTTTCAACCCACAATAAATAATTAAATTAATTATTATCAACCAACAATAACCCAGTTACCCATTCCCGTTATTCTCACTTTACGTCCCTAAAATAACTAACACAAGGGACCTAATCTAAGAATATTTTCATCGGGGTGACAACACATGCTGCGGGGTTTCCTCAGCAATATAAGTCAAATAAGGCAACCATGAGGGGGATGGAATACAGCGAATGAACACCTAAGTTCATTAACACCTACAGGTTATGAGCCTGCTAGCGTTCCACTGGACTATCTAGAAAAGTCTGTGGTCGTCATCTAAATTCCGCTAGATGACTGGATCAAACAACCACGAGGCCTCTCATATGTTTATTACACACCAACTATCTACCCATGTTCTACCCAACATATTAGTAGATAAAAACATACATTTTTATACATATTTTCAAAACCTGTATAGCATGCTTGATCAATACATTTTCCATATAACAGATGAGGCACACACACATAACACGTATTTCATATAGAAATAATCATATCTGTAAGATAGAAGAAAGTGAATATACATTCACACACATAACAACAAAATATACACATAACACGTATCCCGTATAAAATAATTTATAGTTATACGTTAGGAGAAAGTAACAACGCCTTCGCACGTATAAACGACGATAAACTTAATACACTCAAACCATAGTTGTATTATTATTGCGTTTATGAAAGGTAGTATACACTCACTTGATCAGAAGATGATCAGACAGCACTACGGCTTGCAGAAGTCGTAATCCTCAGCAGATCTGGAAGATCTCTACGAAAATCGAACTTCTCGCGGGCAGAGCTTCGGCTCGGAAACCGCACTTCTCGGGATCTTCGGGATCTCGGGACTCGCTTCGGGACTCGGGAATATTACCGGGGCTTCGGGATGGCTTCGGGGGTAAAACCGCAGAGCTTTGACACAAAAACGAGAGGAAATTAGCAAATAAACCCGGAACCCTCGCATCCTATTTATAGGAGGTTGGAAGCCTCTCGTACGCGGGGCGTACGTGCCTCAGAAACGTAAGCGCATGCGTCATCCGAAGTGTCGACACTCTTCGGTGTACGCGGGGCGTACTCACTTACGCGGCGCGTAAGTCGGATCAGACCTGTGACTCGCCTTCGGATAATGCTTCCGAATTTTGATTTAAAAATAAATACAAATTAATTAATAAACTTCGGAAATTCATATCTTCTTCATACGAACTCCGTTTTCGACGTTCTTTATATCCACGGAAAGGTGAGACTACGCTCTACAACTTTCATTTAGACTCCGTCGGCTAATTTTGACTTTATTTTTATTATTTATTTTTAATAGGCCGGGACAGAAAATTTCGTTATAAATTCATAACTTCTTCGTTTGACGTCCGTTCTCGCCTAACTTTTTATCGCTTTGATACTAACAACGAGATCTTCGATTCTCGTTTAGATCACTAAGGCTAAATATCGTTTTAACGTAAATTTCACTTTTTACGTTATCCAGCGTTGTCGGTTCTGTCGCGAAACTTCGACATGTCATAACTTCTTCGTTATAACTCGGATTTTGGCATTCTTTATATCTTCAGAAACCTTGTTTCAACTACTACAACATTATCTAAAGATATCAAGTTTATTTTACACTTAAATTTTGACGCTTGTTTTTATTCTTAATTAATCAAACCACATAATTAAGCAATTAAGCACAAAACACATAATACTCAAATAATACAATCTTATTATTTCAAAACGGGTTACAGAGGTTAACCTAGAACATTACATTGCTAAAAATGGCAAGCCCGGAAACACAGGCGTTACACCAGCCTCCATCACCCCCCCAAGTCCTGTCCTCGAAACCCTAAGCAGATGTGAGCACCTTTGAACAATTTTGTGCCATTTTTGAGTAATATTGTGTGATTTGAAGTTTGTGTGAAGAAGAGGAAGAAGGAGGACTTCAAGAGAATATTGTAGATCCAGGAACAACAACATTTTATCCTCACTTTCTGGTAATCGAGCTTCATACTTGACTTGTGGTTTCTTAGATCTCTTTGTGGACATTTTTATGGAGTTTTGGGTCCAAGAAGCTTGATCCTTAGGACTTGGACGTCCCATGTTAATATATCTTCAGATCTGGAACCTTGGAGGGTCCTCATGGCATAAAGGTGCCATCTTTATGGCCATGAGAACCCTATGTATGAAATAAACCTCATTTTTGGTCCTTTGAGCATACAAGTCTAACGCATGTACGTAAAGTTCATAACTTTACGTGTTAAACCGACTTAAGGAACCCAGATCTACCTTTTGGATGGGAGTTGTACATCAAAAATCAAGTTATGGACTTGGACAATAGTCGACTCGACGAGTCATTCTTAGGACTCGGCGAGTCTGGGGGTTTGGTTCCCCCAACCTGTTGCGATTCACAGGAACCCAGTTGAGTTTAGAAGGAATGTAGTTAAGTCCAAAAGAAGGACCCAACGAAATAGTCATAACTTTAGACTTGGAAGCCATGGGAATCGGCGAGTGTATGAACACACTCGGTGAGTCCAAGGCCATCTCCCAACCCATGAAGATGGACTCGATGAGTTGTTCATACAACTTGGCGAGTCACAAACTAGACACGTTCATATGACGAAGATAAACTCGACGAGTTCAAGGAGGAACTTGACGAGTGAATTGAAGATTATCCCGATGATAAGATTGAAGAAGAACTCGTCAAGTTCTTGCTAAACTCGACGAGTTGAGTCGGGTTGGGGGACATATAAAGGAATAAGGACTCGGCGAGTTGGTGGGTCAACTCGGCGAGTCGAGTCAACTGGAAGTTGACTTTGAACAGGATATTAACTGTGGCCAGGGGTAAAATAGTCATTTTACCCTAAGATCAGTTACCAGTTTTTTTTTTTTTTTTTGACTATGTGTCTTTATGGAAATTATAGCCAGAGAGTCGCCAGAGTAGCAGATAGAGATTTCTCACCGAAAGTTGCAGCAGTCAGTCACACGAGGTGAGTTTTCCTCAAGTAGGAATGGGTCTAAGGTGCTAATGTTGACCCGTTTAAGTAGTAGAGTATGTCGGGCAAGCCCGATGCCGGGGTTAGCTCGATGCAGTTTGTATGTTTCTGGACTTCGGTCCGATGTCGGGGCGGTCCCGAGAAGTAGTTATGTATGCTTAATGTCTTTGTGATTCATGCATGGTTATGTGTTATGTGCTAGATGTTTCTGGCTTAGGTCCGATGTCGGGAAAGTCGATGCAGTATATGTAATATGTTATATGCCATGTGTTATGTATTTTGGGGCAAGCCCGATGTATGCTAGTTATGTGTTATATGTTATTTGTTTCGGACTGCGGTCCGAT